TCTACAACAAAACAATTCCTCTTAATAAACAAAATTACTGAATAAAAAATTGGATTATCAAGCTAACCTTTAACTCTACGGTGATAGTTTGACTCTAATAATATAACCGCACGTGCATTGATAATCTTTTGATAAGACGCGATAATTGTGATATGCAGAAATATACCTGGACTCCAGAAACACCACATAAAACTAACACGGCACCATCAAGAACTCTAAGAGCGCGTTCAACTTCGATTGTAAAGTCAACATGACCTTTCCAAGACATAAATTGAAATAATTTAATTTATATTATACAACTACATAATACGGTAGCCTTTATTATAAGCATTAAACATTGTATCTAACCTGGAGTATCAATGATGTTGATATTATAGTCTCCATGGTCTTTCCAATTCCAATTACAATATGTAGCGGCAGATTGGATAGTTATTCCTCGTTCACGTTCCAACTCCATACTATCCATTTTAGCACCTTCGCCATCTTTTCCGCGGACCTCATGAATCGCTCTAATCATTAAAAGGTTTAATTAGTTAGTTAATATTTATATCAATGCAATTGACTTTATTAAATTGAATTTACTTTATTCGTCCAGTATAATAGAGAATTCTCTCAGTTAATGTTGTTTTTCCGGAATCGATGTGGGCACTGATACCAATATTGCGTAATCGTTGAAGACGAAGCTAATCTCGGTAATATAATTATAATATTTTATGCATTTATGCTTTTATTGACAGCAAAAAAAAAAAAATTGCATTATGTTGTATTCATGACGACATATGGCAACATACCAAATCTTCAGGGTCAACTTTCGGCGCTGTATTGTCAGATGATATAGTAGTGGTACTAGCATATCGTTTTATGTCAAAACATCTATGCGATAATTTAAAATTGGATAAAGTCCTTAAAGATATACTTGTATAAAAAAAACGTGACAGATTAAAAGGTGTCATTGTTTTTATGACACGAAAAAACAGATCGATCAACCGATCGATCAAATTATCATGACATTCTAATAACGTGACTGTAGATTATCAATATCGTTTTTAGCAAAAAAAAAAAACAAGTTAGATCTATCTATAACGATAATGTATCGACAATTTTTAAAGACAAACCATTTTAAATTTACTGCCATAGCAGAAAAAAATTTTGGCCTAATAGCTATAAAGAAGCGGCATTGTATGCTTCTTTGATATAAGTTGGCATTTAAAGTCGTTTAAAGTGTCAGATTCGTCGTGTTCAAGTAATTTCGCAATATATTTTCAGATGCACAGGGCTCACAAAATTCGCGTATCGTTGTCAAGAACCCAGTGGTGGATATAGACGGAGATGAAATGACTCGTATAATTTGGGACAAGATCAAGAATACTGTAAAAAAATCCTACAATTTTAATGTAAAATTATTAAAAAAAATAAAAAAGTAAAAATTGAATTTCATTATGTTTCTGTAGTTGATTTTCCCATACGTCCAACTTGAAATCAAATATTATGATTTAGGAATTCAAAACCGCGACGCTGTAACAAATATAAAATTTTTTCTTATTCGAAGGGCTTATTTGGTCATATTTGTTTTTTTTACATACATATATTATTTTTTACTAGACCAATGATCAAGTAACCATAGATGCTGCTGAGGCGATCAAGAAATACAGTGTAGGCATAAAGTGCGCAACAATCACACCAGATGAACAGAGAGTTAAAGGTTAGCTTGATAATCCAATTTTTTATTCAGTAATTTTGTTTATTAAGAGGAATTGTTTTGTTGTAGA